GGTATATGTTTACTCTCCACTTGTACAATATTTTCTACTGTCATTTGATCACCATCATTTATCGTCTACAATGTCYGTTCTTTGCCTATTCCGTGACATTTCTAGCATTAGTTAAAGAATTAGTTTTATTTTCTATCATCATGCCTTTTTGCGTTAGGTATATTTAGWAGACTTATCGGTTTTTTTATTTCGTTCTTATATTTAATCCATATACAGTGTTTCAAGATCAAGGCCAGTGCATTCAAGGCACGTCATGGAGTCTTGCGTACAGCGATGCCATCCAAGACCATGCTATTGTTGCCCTCTCTTAAAGTCCATTACGGTTTTAACCGACAACGACTGCAAAGATGCCTGCTTCATGCACGTCCCTGATGTATGCTACATGTTCAACTATCATCCACAGACCAAGAAATGTGAGCTTTTCTACAAAGATCGTGCATCAGAATACAGAGTAGAAATGCGGAGTGGATATTTGTTTAAAACACTAAAGGTAACAAGGGAATTCGAAAGAACTTCCTGAGTTGAGTTAAGATTTAACTTAGATTGATTCGTTCTGATTTTTAACTTGGATMAACTATTTCAGTGCAAGTCAAACCCATGCCTTAATGGTGGGCAGTGTTACTCCCTGGGACAAGGTACACAATGCTTATGCAGACACGGACACAGTGGACCAACTTGTGCTTGATTCAAGTAAGCTATGCGAATGTAAATTGTCTTTCTGTTTCTGATATTGAATAGCGTTCACAATGTCACTATGCAACCATAAGTTCAAGAAAAAGAGCAAGAGGAATGCAAAGAATTCGGAAATATAATTGTTTAGCAAGGTTGTTACACAACCAGGACACTTACTCATGAGATCTCAGTTACGCACGTTCACACGTTCAATATATCGCCGCGGTCAATACTTGTAAATGAAAACCAGCATATCCTCTCCTTCCAATGTTTTTAATTAGAAATGCAATGAAAACATAAAATTATTTTCTTGAAGAATTATATGCGATACGCGTAGGTAAAAATTAAAGTCCACCTCACCCAATTTTTTTTATATTTGTAAAGAAAAGACTTTTGTCATAGTAACAACAATTTGTACAAACAAATTTGATTTCGTTTATTTAAACTACATTTTGAAGCGAAAACAACCGCGGACAAAGCCAATTTCGGGATTCCTGTGTGCCTGATCAATGTCTTCGTGATGACGTAGAGGGAGTAAGTCATTCGAGAGACAACGATAGATACCTACAGTGAAATGACAGTAAAAATCAAATCTGAAACAAGAGAACCTGGAATTTGAACAGCTGTAAATACTACCTACATATATTGAAAGAAGTTACTTACCTGGGGCCGTAAATAACTTTTCCTGTTCCTCGATATTTATCTAGATCTATACGCAACACTTGTTTGTCCAGAATAATCTCTCAACACTTTGGCTCCATTTTTATAGCCAAGACATGAAATAACGTTCAAATCGTCAGAATAATCTCTAGTAGCATTAGATTTGCCGTTTCAGGCTGGATTATCCCACGTTCAGTCTTAGAAAACATAGATTTGTAATGAAATATGTGGAACTTGTACAGTAAACTTTGTATTTACCGAAGGACGAGTTACTCCATCTACGTCATCAACCCAGGCTCCCTCGCACTCGGCCAAAAATCATTTGGCCGAATTAAACGAGCATAAAAAATATAAAATTTGGAAATTCGAATTTTTTTTATGTGAATTTGTGGTTTATAACTCCTAAACTTTTTTTTCCAACTGTAAAAAAAATTGGGTGAGGTGGACTTTAANACAATATTTTCTACTGTCATTTGATCACCATCATTTATCGTCTACAATGTCCGTTCTTTGCCTATTCCGTGACATTTCTAGCATTAGTTAAAGAATTAGTTATATTTTCATCATGGCTTTTTGCGTTAGGTATATTTAGAAGACTTATCGGTTTTTTTATTTCGTTCTTATATTTAATCCATATACAGTGTTTCAAGATCAAGGCCAGTGCATYCAAGGCACGTCATGGAGGATTGAGTACAGCGATGCCATCGAAGACCATGCTATTGTTGGTCCTCTCTTAAAGTCCATTACGGCTTTAACCGACAACGACTGCAAAGATKCCTGCTTCATGCACGTCCCTGATGTATGCTACATGTTCAACTATCACCCAAAGACCAAGAAATGTGAACTTTTCTACAAAGATCGTGCTTCAGAATACAGAGTAGAAATGCGGAGTGGATATTTATTTAAAACACTAAAGGTAACCAGGGAATTCGAAATACCTAATCAGTCCGAGTTGAGTTCAGACTTAACTTAGATTGATTCGTTCTGATTTTTAACATGGATCAACTATTTCAGTGCAAGTCAAACCAATGCCTTAACGGCGGGCAGTGCTACTCCCTGGGACAAAGTACACAATGCTTATGCAGACACGGACGCAGTGGACCAACTTGTGCTTAATTCAAGTAAGATATGCGAATGTAAATTGTCTTCCTGGTTCTGTCGAATAGCGTTTACAAGTCACTATGAAACCATAAGTTCAAGAAAAAATGTAAGAGAAATGCAAAGAATTCGGAAATATAATTGTTTAGCAAGGTTGTTACACAACCACGACACTTACTCATGAGATCTCAGTTACCGCACGTTCACACGTTCAATATATCGCCGCGGTCAATACTTGTAAATGAAAACAAGAATATCCTCTCCTTCCAATGTTTTTGATTGGGAATGCACTGAAAACATAAAAATATTTTCCTGAAGAATTATATGCGATACGCGTAGGTMAAAAATGGAAGTACTCGAAGAGTTTCTCTTGGGGATTTTTGCTAGCCAACGTTAAAATATTATACTATTTGATTTCATGTGTGCTTTTGTTGTTGATTTATAGGCCTCCTTAATTCAATGACAGCATGATTCCACAAGAGCACTGCCACCCTGGGCAATACAGGCTGGATTTAATCTTTTTTATAGTTTATTTATGCTGCTTCACGTCGTCTTTAAGGCTGTTAGTAGCACTTCAAAAAGATGAGAAAAGCCATATTCCGTCATAACATATTATCAATTTAAGCTATAATTGTTTTTKWAAGTCAAATMAATATCAACATAGTKASTTTARCACTTTGTTGTTTTCCTCTTTTGATGGACTTATTGATTGCGAAAGAAAGGGTGGATGGATGGATGAATTGAACTAAGGATAGAATAATGAACGAATTCATTCTGGTGAGATGAAAGTTTGAATCAAGGGAAGCCTGATTTACACCGAATTGCAAGAACCGTCCGTCGGAGTAATGAATTAGAAAATTATTTCAAGACACTGAGAGAGGATCAGCTGCTTGTCTGGCCATCTTTTATTTAGATCGCTGAGTCTCATGATAAAAACGTTTTCTGCATGATTGTAGGTGAGAACCTCCTTTAACGATAACGTTGCCGTACAATCCTGGTAAAATAGAAAATTCTATAAATCAGTCCAAAGATCGCACCGTGTAGCAGAATTTATTATATATTGTATCAGAATTGAAAACAAGCAGAAACGATCATCTCATCAGGTAATCTGACGCTAAATAATAACATTTCCATAACTTCAAAAGTTATCAGAGCCGTCAGAACCGTTTAAATATTCGATTGATTATTCAAAAAATTGTTCAATTTTATTCAAGAAGTCATTCTAGTATCATTTATGAAGGAGCGTTTCAAAATTTACTCGATTGCGCTCAATTACACTGACTTATTGAGATAAGCTTTTCAACTTTGCGATAGACATTTGATGAGCTCTTGCTAAATTTTGTGAAAAGCTGTTTTTCATGGAATTTTCATATTGTTTKTGGTAATTACAGTACTTACCCGCTTATAAGAACCTGCAATTTAAGAAACTGTTTAGACTAAAATTTGAAACAGGTTTTTATAGATAGGTTCTAATAAAAATTTACCTATAAAATTTTTCATGAAAAAATATATCTCAAACTGTAGTGAGCTTGAACATGTATACACTTTTAAATTTGGTATAAATAATACTTGGAAACCTTGTAAATTTTAAGGGATAAATAAGAACCTATATTTAAGAACCTGCTTAGCCTAAAATTCAAATAAGTACCATTTACATAAGAACCCGTTTAGGCTAAGTGAAAAAATGGGTTCTTGTAAGTGGGTAAGTACTGTATAAGAAAATTCTTGAAGGCAATGGTCTTGCAAGATACTGCAACTCACTGAGAACATTAGAAAAGAAATTAGACACAGAGTTTGAGTGCTTTCTTCCAGAAAACAGCAATTTATTGTCGATGACGCACCACAGGGATCCCATAATAGTTGACTTTGAAGCATAAAGAATAATCATACAGGAATTTTTAAATAGAATGTAATTATATAGCGCTTTATAAA